CCTGTAGCCAGCCCCTAAGAAGGCGTGGCTACAGCTTCCCCTACAACTAGGAATTAATAAGACATATAAATGATGAAGGCCTAATGTGACTAAATGAGGCAACACCTTATATGTATACATTAGTCAAGACAGTAACAGTACCTGTTGGTAAAACATGGGAACACTGGCTAGGCACACATGTCTCCTCTACCTGGACATTAGAGATCAAGATCAAGAATACTGAAAATCTGACACTATTACCACTTTATCAATTGTTTGGTTAGGAACAATATTGGGTCAGAATCTCACAGAGATAATCATGCAATCATTACCTGTGAAAAACTATAAGCAGCATCTGATAAGGCATGTTTATAAACTCAGCTGCTAATGTTCACAAACTAAGTTTAAAGCCTACTTAGACTACAGAGTCAGTCCAACACCATCCTGGGTAACAGAGCTAGGCACTCCCTCAAAAAGAAATAATAATCAGGAAAAGCGTGGACATAGACTTTACAACTAGAGCTTCTTCTGTGTTTGTGTCAGATCCATGTTCAACTCCTGCTACTCCCACACACAAAAGAAAAGAAAAAAAGAAATTATGAACAAGTGTACTTTCGGATATAATTTCCTCACCAGGATGCCTGATATTACCTTGTCCACCTCCATTCTTAAAGAACATTTTGACTTCAATTGGATATGCATCAACTCGACAGTAATACACTTTTAGATGACATGCTTTTTGGATTAGGCACTTGCAAAATATGCTAGGCTTAGTCCTATGTTCAAGATTAAGAAGGACAGGAAAAAAACATGCACATTTTTCAGTATAAAATTTCTCTATGCAATAAAACACAGAAGTTTGTCTTCTGTCAGACTGCAAAGGACAAAACCATTTCATACAGCCCCAAGTGCGTGCTACAAAAGCAGATGAGCTGTTCTGTAATTAAGGCAACATCAGCATTTACCTCAATGCCAACAATGTTTGTCTGGATCACCTAAATCACTGTAGTCTTTTTGTTGTTTGTTTGTCAAGACATGGTTTCTTTGTGTAGCCCTGGCTGTCCTTGAACTAACTCTGTGGACCAGGCTGGCCTCAGACTCATAGAGATCCTCCTGCCTCTGCCTCCCCAGGGCTGGGATAAAAGTGGGCACCACCACTGCCTGGCAATCATTATAGTTTTGACTGTTCCTGAAAAACATTTTGGTGCAATCATTTAACCAATTTCAGATCTTTTTTTATAATAAAACCAGGCACATTCCCTCATATTAAAGTTGGATGAGGCAACCAGTAGGAGGAAAAGGGTCCTAAAAGCAGGCAAAAAAGTTAGAGGCAGACCCTGCTCCCACTTTTAGGAGTCCAAAAGGTACACCAAGCCACACAATTATAACACATATGCAAAGGAAGTAGGTCAGACCCATACAGGATTTCTTATTTTACCTGTATAGTTACAAATGCTTGAGTGATTTTATCATTTCTGAATTTACTTATATCACCAAGACATTTGCAATCTGTCACAGGAAGGCAAGTGTTCTAGTTTGTTTTTCATTGCTGTGATAAACACTATGATACAAAGCAACTTGGAGGAGGAAAGTGTTTATTTGGCTTATATGTCCCATGTCACCATCCAAACTCAAGCAGGAACCTGGAGGCAGGAACTGACACAGAGACCACAGAGGAAGTCTACTTACTTGCCTTCTTTGGTTTGCTTAGCTATCTTTCTTAATACAGCACAGGCCTACCTGCTTAGGAATGGTACATACCCACAGTGGGCTAGGCCATTCTACATCAATTAACAATTAAGAAATGTTTCAAAGTCATTCTCAAGAGGCCAATATTATGAAGGCAATTTCTCAAATGAGGTTGACTCTTTCTTTCTTTCTTTCTTTCTTTCTTTCTTTCTTTCTTTCTTTCTTCCTTCCTTCCTTTCTTTCTTTCTTTCTTTTTTTTTTGTTTTTTGAGGCAGGGTTTCTCTGTGGCTTTGGAGGCTGACCTGGAGCTCGCTCTTGTAGACCCGGCTGGTCTCGGACTCCCAGAGATCCGGCTACCTCTGCCTCCCGAGTGCTGGGATTAAAGGCATGAGCCACCAACACCCGGCAAGGTTGCCTCTTCTTATGTATGTCAAGTTGACAACTGTAGCTAACTATGACAGTAGGTTAATTAACCAAACTCTTAGTTGTTGAGAGAATATATGACAAAATTTCATATTTTGTGTTTTGATGATACATTATGGAAATTTCCATGAACCCTAATTATGTCCCTATCCTTAAAGGGTTTTATGATGATCATGAAGACATGGGCCCTGAGCAAAGAAATTTTCACATGCTTATATTTCTACAGTTTCAATTCTGTATGTATTCTGTGGTGAGTTTAAAGTGTGGAGTTCTAGGCAGACGACATGACACACTCTTTAAATCTGTAAGGTTTGTCACCAGTATGGACTCTGTGGTGAACTCGAAGACTTGAGATCTGTGTAAAGGATTTGCCACATTCCTTACCTCTGTAAGGTTTGTCACTAGTATGGATTCTGTGGTGAACTTGAATGCTATACTTACTGATGGATAGGCTAGAAATGCTATAACAATTACAATTAGCAAGGAAAAAAATCATTCCCCATACCCTCCTAGGTGAAACATCGATTTTCTGTACACCAAGGCAGTCTTTTTGTTTCTAGAATTACTATGAGCATACAACAAAACTCTGGTAATTGCAGGTTCATTAGCATAATTTACCTTTATGAAATGTCAACCCTGAAGCCACATATACATAAACAACAAAAATTAATTTTTCAGACTGTATTATTGTTTGTGCATACACATACATAATACGTGTATATATTCATACATAAGCATTGTGTATGCATGTATATGCAACAATAATAATCAAATAAAAAGCATATCAATTTGAGAGTGGGAAGACACAGAAGGAATTGGAGGAAAGGGATTTTGGAGAGGCTGGAGTAAAAAGGGGAAGAGGGAAGTGATGTAATTATATTTTAACTAAAATACATAAAAATAAATAAAATAAAAATCCATCCTTTTGGTTAGAAAATTAAAAATTTAAGCTTAGAACTGGGCCGTAAAAGTAACAAATAATAAATTTATAATGGATCCTTCTACATATGAAAGATTAAGATCAATTTTCCCCATCAAATAAAATGAAGACTCAGGTTGGGAGAATTGCTAAGGACTCCATAATTACTCACCCAAGCATCAGAAACAAAAGGATGGAGACAAGTCTAAGGGACAACCATCATCAATAACCTGCGTATATGAAGATCAGATATACTGTACTGTGAAGGGGTAGGTTTACCCTAGCAAGAACTTGAATACCAACAATACATCAAATAGTGGGTTATAATTTAAAAAGTGGTCTGTGAGAAAAAGACACCATGCGATAGAGCTTTGGTGGAGAGGTTTTTTACTGGGGGAAAGTGAATGGGAAAAGGGGTGAGGGGAGAAGGGGACAGGAATGGCAGAAGAGAAGTGAGAGGCAGAGAGAAAGAAAGGAACAGATAGACAGAGGGAGAGAGAGAAAGAGAAAGATGGAAGTTGGTCAGGGCCTGTTCAAAAGTGAACATACAACTTGGTGGGATCTGATCTCAAAATAAATAGTAGAAAATTAAGTACTACATTATACACCATCCTAGTGCCTTCATCAAGCGGCTGATGGAAGCAGAAGCAGATACCCACAGCTAAACACTGAGCTGAACTCTGGAATCCAGTTGCAGAGAGGGAGGAGTGATTAGCAAAGGGGTCAAGACCAGGCTGGAGAAACCCACAGAAACAGCTGACCTGAACAAGGGGGAGCTCATGGACCCCAGACTGATAGCTGGGAAACCAGCATAGGACTGTGCCAGAGCCCCTGAAGGAGGAAGTCACTTTGGATGTCTGGACAATCTATGGGGCCACTGGTAGTGGATCAGTATTTACCCCTAGTACACAAATGAAGAGGGATACTCTCTCCGCCTAGACACACCTGGGAGGGTCTAGTCCCTGCTCCAAATGGTATGACAGACTTTGAAGATCTTCCATGGAAGGCCTCACCCTCCCTGGGGAGCAGAATGGGGTTGGGATAGGAGGTTGGTACGCTGGCAGGGGAGGAGGGGAGGGAGAGGGAACTGAGATTGACATGTAAAAGAAGCTTGTTTCTAATTTAAATTTTAAAAAAGAATAAAAAAGAAAGAAAAGTAAGCACTAGAGTGGTAAAGTGGTTGTCTCATTGTGCAAGGTGGTTTAATATCACTCTTTCATACTCCCAAAAAAGAAAGAAAAAGAGAAAACAGGCACAAAAGTGATTTTTAATATGCAGTGTGCTCATCAGGACCCTGGTTTATCACCTTGACAACCACCATTCTTGAAAATCACTTCAACTACACCTGGATACTTGCATGAATTCAAAATGTACATATCATTTCCCCCTTTTATTAAAATAGATTCTTTTCCCATACAAAATATCCTTATTACAGTTTCTTCTCCCTCTTTACCTACAAGTTCCTCCCTACTTCCCCTTCCATCCAGATCCACTCCCTTTTTGTCTCTCATTAGAAAAGGACAAACTTCTAAGAGATAACAACAAACTATAACAGAATAATATACAATAAACTAAAACAAAAACCATCACATCGACAAGGCAAATCAACAAAAGGAAAAGAGCCCCAACAGACACAAGAATCAGAGAGTCACTCATTCACACACTCAGGAGTCCCATAAAAATACTAAAGTGAAAGCTAGAATATATACACAGAGGACCTAGCACAGACCTGTGTATGCCCTGTGCTTGCTTATTCAGTCTCTGAGTTCATATGAGCCGTGCTCAGTTATCCAGAGGGCCTTGTTCTCCTGGTGTCCTCCATCTGCTCTGGTTCTTATACTCTTTCTGCCTCATCTTCTACAGGGTTCCCTGAGCTCTGAGGAGTGAGATTTGATGGAGACATTCCATTTAGAACTGTGTGTTTCAAGGTCTCTCTGCATGATGTCTGGCCATGGGTCTCTGTATTGTTCTCATCTTCTGCAAGAGGAAGGTTCTCTGATATTGGCTGAATGCAGTACTGATATATGAGTTGTTTCAATAACTCTTTCTGCCAAAAGCCACCCGAGCCGTACCGCCACGTGGGCGCTTCCTGCCAGCTGCCTGAGTTCTGACCGCTGAGTTAGGGCCCCAAATAATACACAGAGACTTCTATTAGGTACAAATGCTGCTTGGCCAATGACTAGGATTCTCATCTGTTAGCTCAGTCTTAATTATCATAAATTTATATATTTTATAAGACTTATCTTTTTGTATGCCTTCCATTGGCGTCCTCATCCTGGGATCACATGGTGACTCTGGAGGAAGAGAGAAGGGGCCCACTTCCTTCTTCCCTCCTCTATGTATGAGTCTCCATGCTATGTCATTTCTTGCCTGGATCATCACTTCTTTACTACATTTCCCAGAATCCTCCTTGACTCCTAGTCCCATCTAATGTGCTGCCTCGTTGGCCAAACAATACTTTATTTAACAATCAATAAGATGAACATACACAGAAGTACATTCCCCATCAATGAGTATAGCAGAATATCATTAGGAATTATTTTGTTGTTAATTTTTGTTTTTGATCAGTAGTATTTGATTTTACCCTAGAACTCTGGCTATCTAGTTTCTGGTTCTTGATCACTCAAGAGGTGTTAGGTATGAATTCTATCTTATGGAGTGGGCCTTAAGTCCAATTGAACATTGATTGTTTACTCCCATAAGCTTTGTGCTATTATAACCCTAGCATATTTAGCAGGCAGGACAAATTGTAGATCAAAGATTTTGTGACTGGATTGGGGTTAATGTTTCTCCTTTTTTCAGCCTGCAGAGTCCCTTCCTGTACCAAAGACTCTAGAACATAGAAGTGAAGGTTCTGTGTAGACACCAACTCCACCTCTTCATGTTTGGTGACTTCATTGAGGCCTTGTTGTCTGTTTGTGGAGAGCAATTTATTTTGGCAACCACCTGAGCTGTTTGGGGATTTCCATGGTACCCCTTTGGCCAACAACTCAATCAGATGTAACCCAGACCCATTACTGGAAGCTTCATTTGGTGACAAGAGATAGCCAGTTGGAACTTACCTCCCTCATTATTTGAAGACTTCACGAGGACTGCTTGCATATATTTTAGGAAGTTTACACTGCACTAGGTTTCTATACCACCCCTCCAATGCCCCTCAATTCTAGCTGTCTTCCTCTGCATTCCCTCCTTCAAACCTATCTTCCTCACCCTCCCCTCCTGATCTTCCCCCCTAACCAATAGACCATAAAGTCCATTCATTTTCTCCTCCAAGGGAGATCTATGTACCCCTCCAGCCCTTTTCTCTATACCAACCCTCTCTGGGTCATCAGATGTAGCTTGGATATCATTTATTTAATAGCTAATATCCACATATAAGTGAATACATACCATATTTATCTTTCTGGATCTCGGTTACCTTACTGTGGGTGATCTGGCATTCAATCCCCAGTACCACAAAAGAAAAGATAAAAAGAAAATCATATTTTAATGAATGACTGTTACATCTTTTCAAATATGTAGACTATTCAATTATTCAAACTGTTGCTAGAAACATCCCCTAAAACTAGGTTAGGCACTCCTCTTCCCTGACCTGAATTTAATATTAAATGGCCTATATTGTAGTATGTCACTTCATTACTTATCTAAAAAGTAGCAAGGCTCTGTCAGCAATCTGCAGGGTAAATCTAAAAGGGAAATTAAGGAAGAAGACACACAGAAACCTATATCAGAATAAAGTTTGTTCTAAGTGGGCACCCTCCCATTCATTTGTCCATGATTTATATTTAGGATTTTTCAATTGCAGCTGAATAAATGGATGACATCTAATATGATCACACTCCAGTACTCATCATTTCTCCACTTGACATCTCAAAAGAAACTATTCCTACTGCTGGGCTGACAAATCAACAATGCCAATAAACAACATCCAACCCCTCAATATCAGTATGTTTCACTTTCTAGCCATAGAATAATATGAAATCACGTTAACTATATTTATTTAAGGACTCCATGATTTATGATCTGAGTTCTTGCTTTTGCTGCAGGTTAGAAAAAAGAGTTAGGGATGCCATCATTACTCAGCTTTTATACAGACCATGAGGTGGTTTGTAGACTGATTCAGGATCATAGAGGCACTTTTGCATATATCGAGAAGTAGTATTCTTGCAGATCTTTGTGAGGTACCATGAGGTTGTGACCTGTCTCTGAGAAACATACCGAGGAAATCCCATTAGATATGTGTCTTATTCCACTGATCCATATTAAAATTCTCAAGGCCATAGTATTAATTCTGGGGTGTATCTACCAAACCAAGACTCTTACAAATGGCAATGGCAGAGGTTTTCATGGTTAGGCTACAGAGAGAATTCAAGGCCAGCCTAGACAACACAGTAAGAATTTTTTTCATAATAGCAAGTAAAATGGGCTGTGGATACATGGAAATGCTGCTAAATACCTTAAACCCAGCTCCTGGGAGGCAGAGGCAGGCAGATCTCCTCGAGTTTGAGACCAGTATGAAGAAACGGTACATGTAATTTTGAGGAAAGACCACCCCTTCTTCAACCTGCAAAATATTCAAGGCTTACAACTTGCCTCAAAGTCAAGATCTATGACAAAGAACCAAGAAATAATCAATGTATCAATTTATAGAGATTTAACATGCATTTTCTCCTGTGTAAGTCATGTAAACTCTTCGCTAGGTTTCTAAGGACCCAAATCATTTATATTTGCATACCCATCACAAATGTGTGGTAATGAAAAGCACTGGTGACATCATCAACAATTTTTCAGGAACAGGAGTATCTGATATCCTGCTTTGTAAAGAGGTCATCTTCAGCACTTACCTTGAAACATCAGTGACCCACTTAATAACCTCCTTTAGCTCACTTTGAGATATTTTTCAATTTTAAAATTGGAAAAATATGTATCTGGATCCACTTTACATTATAAGGACTCATTCACATTCCTTTGCCCACAACTATAATTGAGGGACCATTCAACTGCATTTAGATACTTGAATGACTCATAATTGGACCACAATTCAGAAGTGACCATACTTTTTTGATCTGGAGACTATAAAACTGGTGCTTAACTTAGGCTGACAAGTCAATGAAAATGACAGTAAGCTCTGACACAATCAATCCCTTAGCAGTCACAAGTTCAACATGAAGGTCATGAACATATTATATGAAATCATGATCATGAAATTTGCCAAGACTCTATGACTTCTTATCCACACATCTTCAGGACACATATGCTGTAAAGAAAAGCAGGGCTAAGGGACACTGATCACTTACCTGTGCCGATGACAACCAGTGCCCTGTGCAGTGATTCTCAATCATTTACTTACTGTGAGAAACCACACTCTTGAAGATCACTTTGAGGCATTGTGAAGTTTTGTCAAGGAAAGACACCTAAAAATATGTTCCATTCACTGAGTCACTTTTAGGTCCATTTGCCTTACATGTATAGTTGCAAATAGCCAAAGACATGGCCAAATTCTTATTCTCCTAAGAAAGGATATTCCTTAAAATGCTACCACCAATATTATCATGATAGACACAATGAAAATTATTTAGAACTCAAAATATAACTCTATCATTAAGAATATTAATTTTAGGAATACAAGCCAAAGATACTGCTAAAATCTCTGATTCCTCTAAGAATTTACGAAGTATATCTGAAAGTATTAAAGTCTCTAAGAACTTTCATGCACACACACATAAGGCAATGAAGGTAACGAAGTACTTGCTGAAAAGTTACAGCATGGCAATTCCAAACTAGATATACCCTTCTTATGCACCCGAATATTGAGGATCATGTGCTCTATTCTGTAATATGTCAGGATAAAGGTCAATGATATTCCAATAATCAGTATGTTCTCCTTAAGAGAATCTCTCAGACAGTATGAATAATGCTATACTTGATACAGGCATATCAATTCTAGCTATTCCATAAGGTGAGGCAGAAGCAACACAATTCAAGTTTTACCTGAGCTACAGAGGGAGTTCAGTACTATTCTGATAGTAAGAGCCTGTCTCATAAAAAGGTAAGGGGAGAGGGAAGAGGAGGAAGAAGAAGATGGAGTAGGAGAGGAAAATGGATGAGGAACAAAAGGAGAGAAGGAGGAAGAATGAGAAGAGAAGAAGGAGGGGAGAAGAATGGGATAAGGAGAAGAAGAGAACAGGAGAGGAGGACAAGAATCAGAGGAGGAGAAGGGGAGGAAGATATCTATCCACTACCTTGACTACTATAATTGCTAAAGAACACTCTAATTCCCTCTGGATACTTGGATGAATTTGATGTACAAATATTGTCAGAAGATTGTATACTTTCTTGACTGTGTACCTACAAAGTATGCAAAGATTATAACTAAACTCAAGGTAAAATTTTAAAAAACAAGCCATATAAATCCCCTAATACTTACATGACCATATAGCACAAGCTTGTCTTTATTAGGATTCCTAAGGACAGCATTATTTTGTACCTGACCACCTGCCACAAATGTGCCTTTATAAAAAGTGTTACAGATACCATCAGTACTTACCCAAGTACATGAAACTTCCATTTAATTCTGTGAATAGGCCAGCTTTGGCTCTTACTTTGATTTTTTGCAGTATGCAACTTTATGACTTTTATTATGATATAGTTTAATATCTATGAAAACCAAATCCTAACAAAACTATTTGGTACATTTATCATTCTATCTGGAATTGGAAATTCCTAACTCACACCATCATTTTTAGGGCACATCCACAGAACCTAGATACTTGTAGACTTTCAAGGATAACTCATTCTAACAGATCCCCTAGTCCATTTGAAGAATATCTGCCAAAATTCCATGGTGTCTCAATGATATATCCTATGAAAGTTACAGCATCCTTATCTATCTTCTACCCTTATAAAGATTAAGTACACATGACCAATCAACAAAGATACAATAAAAATTAAGGCTTATTAGTCATATGAAAGAGTGCTATCTGCATAGGTTACAATGACAGGGACACACGTGAGCTTCCAAATCACTTATTAAATAATTTATCTGAAAATATGATGATATTTAATGAGTGACTAGAGCAATATCTCACATCTTTACCCTAGAAAAGACCTTATAAGGTCAAGCTATCCCTTTCCAGTGGATAACTGCAACACAGCCAGCATTTACTGATGCACTAACATTTCCATAGCAATGACTCCTACCAGGTACACACCCAATCACTCAACACATATAGATGAATTATACATTTTCTCACTCTAGAAAACATCCACATTCTTAGTTTTGAGAACAGTTAAGCATGCCACTATTTCTTGGCTGAGCAACAACAATAAAACAAAAGTGACAAGAAGGACAGAGGGTACTATACTCTGTGCATATAAACATAAGATGCTCCATTATGTCAGTTATTTTCAACATGGGGGTCAAATGATCCTTTCACAAGTGTTGCCTAAGACCACCGGAAAGCACAGATATTTACATTATGATTCATAACAATAGTAAAATTACAATTACGAGCAACAAAAATAATCTTATGGTTGGGGGCCACTACACATGAGGAACTGTATTAAAGGGTCACAACATTAGGAAGGTTGAAAACCACTGCATTATGTGATAAAGGCCTATGATAGCACTGACCTGGATACTAGATATGTTCATTTTGACAACACTGTCTGTCTCATTGTGGTGTTCTTTCCTGTGTTACAAATAAACATCATGAAAATACGAGGTCACATGTCATCCCAAAGGTCTCTGCATCAGTTCTTAACCTGTGGAAAATTGCAGAATTCAAAGTATGAGAACTCTCCTCTGAAGGTCTCTTACTTTCTTCATAGAATACCTGCACAAAGAACACACTGCATCTCACTGTGATGAAGCCCATGAATATAAACTTTACCTGTGAGTTTGGTTCTGCCATTATATGTATAAAAGGCATTACCTGATGGCAAGCATGGAAGAATATGATATTTGTAGGTTTGCTAGAGACATAGTCAGGATTTAATGTTCAATGTGTAGAATACAGGGTGAAATGTAAGCCTGCCAGAAACATTTCTAATACACACATTTAAAAGTATGGTCTTAATGTCACTGCCAAAAGTGTACAACCAGAAATAATTCCAGAAATATGCAAAAAGAAATGTGATGACAAAACTCTTGCCACTTACTACTCATAAATCTAGATAGTATAACACCTACCTTGATATCTAAGATCACATGGTTTGTGCTGCAATATATACTTCACCATTTACCTAAAAATTAACAAGATTCCATCAACATTTTTCAGGGTCACTCTACTCTTCTGAAGGGAATGTAAAAAAGTCATACAACAAATGTGTGGTGACAAGAAAAGTATGATATACCACTAGCACTTATATATGTTTATGAAAATCATATATCTCTTGAAGTGTTTCCATATTCCTGAGTACTTCTCTGGATATTAGCAGTGTTCTGTTTCATGACCTTTCCTGGTTCACTGTGAGGATCTGACTAAAAAAAAAAACACAATGTGGAATACTCACTTGGCAGAAATTTCATTTTACTAGAATTACTACATGCTTCCTAAGTCATTGTATTATTTCAGGACCATGTATGATACTTGGATATTTATAGACAAACCCTCATAGAAACTTATTGCTCATTTCAGAAGATAGCTGAAAAAATTCCACATTTAAATTCACATTGAAGGGCAGTAAAAAATTCACCTGAAATCTTGAGTATATTGCTAGCTTTGTAATTATTAAATTTATATTATTGGTCAGTAAGAAGTCAATGAAATCTGAAAGTTCCTAGTCATAGGAGCAAAGTTTCATTTTTCGAAACCCTCAGGCTTAAAAAAATATTTCATGCTTACATGCAGGATGATAAGTCCAGAACAGTGAACCAGGGCACATTCATTCTTTCAGTTTTTATGAGTTCTACTAAAAGAAAATGAAATTTTAAGAAGGCACAGCAAGACTGGCTGGGCGCACACTCCATATCTATTGGAATGTTGAAGGTTGGACAGAATTTGCTATGCTATGATTATTTTCTCATTTACCCACTTCCTCACAAGATTATATCAATATTTCTGCGTATTTTCCTTTAAAGGCAACCAGAGAACAAAGAAAAAATATGCTTCAGGATATGAGTTGCTTTACCTAGATTCCTGTCCACTTGTGGTCAAAGGCCATCGTAAAGGGGCACTCAAACTCTATGTAAATACTTGGGATTATCCAACATTAAAACTGAAACAGACTCTACCATTTCTTGACAGAATATCCTATTGTTATTCCCAGGTTGGCAAGTACACAGTAATAAAAAAATGTACTGAGATAGGAGCAATCTCCCACATGCACACATTTGAATAGATTTGCCATATACAATGTGTAGTATCATTTTCAGAAAAATTGGTAGGATTTCATTATTCTTAACTGACCATTGGCAAAAAATGGTGAAAGGTTAGGGTCATCATTACTTAAAATGTTAACAAAGATGTACCTCATGCTATGACTTAGTCCCATTCATTGACACTCTCTGTCTCATTGTGATGCCTTGATCTAGCTCTGAAAAACCAAACATAGTTAAACACTGATTTGGTACATGTCTCATTCTATTTGTACATAGAAATGCAATAGGTCATTGTGTGATTTCAGAACATATCTATATTATCTGTTGATGTGACAACCACAATGAACAATGGCTTAGTAGAGTACATCTAGTCCCTTAAGAGGATATCTATCTACAAATATCCCATGGTCAACACTGTAATGATGAATTGTGCAAGGTGGTATATACTTACAATCCCAGCACTTAGGAGGTAAAGGTCATCCTCAGCTATATAGTGAGTTTGGAGCCAGCCTGAGCTATATGAGACACTTTCTCAAAGGAAAGTAAAATTTAAAAGACTGTAATGATGGGCACTGACAAATACTGTTACCTTGTTTATGTCTCTGCCACTATGAGCCTGAAATAAACTTTTATGTATGAAGTTAAAATAAACTTTGAATGCTTAGTAGTAATAATAGGGATATATTCCCATTTTAACCACATATATGCCCGAAACAGGGATAAGTAGAAGAACCTAAAGCAATCAAATGTAAATCTGAACATTCTAATGAGTAAATTTGGAATCATCTCATACATATATACTACTCACAACTCCAGAGAATTCCTACAAAATAATCATGGACACTCAGAGCTGGCCATTCTCAAAGCTCAGTCAATCTACAATATGCTATCACAACTTTATCACTTAGCTAGTTCTTAGCAATGTTCCCCCAACAGTCTTTTCTGAAGTGTTGCATTCTCTTGAATGGAACATGAAAAGACATGCAAAATCTATTTTTAAGATACAATATGCTTCACTAAGACATCTATTCTTTCCTTTCCTCATGGCCACTTCAATACTGCTTACATAATTGTATTGCTTTGAGGGTAGCATCCCTGTCAGGGGACTCCATCCTCTTTTGATTGGGTACTGGAAACACATCCTATGTTTACTTCTGGGCTGGCAATGAAACATGTTACAATATATCCTTTAAAATTCACAGGTTTAACATTAAATGTCTCTAATATATAAAAAGTATAGTCTAGCCAGGTATGGTATACACACTTATATATCAGCACTTAGATAGAATTAGGAGAATCATTGCAAGTTCAATGCAAGTATGGTTTATATAACAAGCTTCAGAGTATCTAAGCAGTGTTTCTCAACCTGTAGATCATGATACCCATGGGGTTTGAAAGACCCTTTCACAGGGGTCACCTAAGAAAGCACAGATATTTACATTATGATTCATAACAGTAGCAAAATTACAGTTATGTAGTAGCAATGAAAATAATTTTATGGTTAGGGGGTCACCACAGCATGAAGAACTGTATTAAAGGCTTGTACCACTAGGAAGGGTGAGAACCAATGCTCTATGTATTCTTAGTAGACCATTGGGTTCCACCCATCCAAAAGCTATATAGAAAGACATTGTCTCAAACATATCAATTGGTTTTCTAATACCAAAATGTCAGTTCTGAAAACATGCATACAAGTAACATTATGCAGACTGAGCAGGTTGTATTTGTGTATTTAGGGATACATGTGTACATATATACATACATACATACAGGCATGCATATATATTCATGTAACAACAATTATTTAAAAAAGAGGCCATGAATTTGAAAAGAGAGTGAGAAAGGGATATATGAGAGGGTTTGAAGGGAGCAAACACAAAAAAGGGAAATGATGTAATTATAATATCAAAAAATGAAAGACAAAGTTAAAGATTAACTATAATTTAAAAGTACAATCTTATTGTCACTAATGTTGCTACCTGAGCAACTTCAACAAAAACATGGTTACTGGAAGAGTCAAAGATCCTGAAGTAGGTAAGTTGATCACAACTTAAGAGTTCAGTCTAGGCTACATAATAAGTTCCAGGCCAGCCTGGCCTATACAATGAGACTCTGTCTCAAGAAGAAAAAGAAGAGGGGAAAGTAAAACTACCATTATCACATGTCTGTGTATATGAAGATCACATAACCTGTGCTGTAATTTAAACCCATTCTGTACTTATGTGCACTTAGCCAATGTTCTATTGATCTTGGTTAGCTAACTGTAATGTCTTCACATTTTTCTGAAAAACACTCTGTGACAAACCTATTTTGTCTTAGTCTTGTTCTATCTGTCTATCTACCAAATCACCAGCTTATATCACCCCACTACCTGCATAGTCCCAGATCACTATAGACAAAGAACTTAATCTTTTAAGAAGATACCTGCATAACCCAGTCACAAAAAGACAAACATGGTATGCGCTCACTCATATATGGATTTTAGACATAGAGCAGAAGATTACCAGGCTATAATCCACACTGTCAGAGAAGCTAGGAAACAAGGAGGACTCTAAGAGAGACATACATTGCCCCCCCTCCCAAGAAAGGGAAAGGGACAAGATCTCCTGAGCAAATTGGGAACATGTGAGGGAGGGGAAAGGGAACTAGGAGAATGAGTAGGGGATAAGAGGAGGGATGAGGAGGACATGGGGGAGTAGGAAGGTTGAATTGGGAGAAGAATAGAGGAGAGCAAGATAAGAGATACCATAATAGAGGGAGACATTATAGGTTTAAAGAGAAATCAGGCACAAGTGACATGTCTGGAAATCTACAAAGATGACAACAACTAACAATCTAGCAACAGAGTAGAGGCTACCTTAAATGACCTCCCCTGATAATGAGATTGATGACTGACTTATATGTCATCTTATAGCCTTCATCCAGCAGATGATGGAAGTAGAAGCAAACACCCACAGCTAAACACTGAACTGAACTGGAATCCAGTTGCAGAGAAGGACGAGTGATGAGAAAAGGGGTCCAGACCAGGCTGGTGAAACCCACAGAAACAGCTGATCTGAACAATGGGGTAACACTTAGTCCCCAGACTGATACCTGGGAAACTAGCATGGGACTGATCCAGATGCTATGAGCATGGGTGTCAGTGAGGAGACCTCAGAAATCTATGGGGCCTCTTGTAGTCAATCAGTACTTATCCCTAGCATAGATATGGATTTTGGGAGCCCATTCCACATAGAGGAATACTCCCTATGCCAAGGCACACAGGGGTGGGCCTAGGCCCTATCCCAAAGGATATGACAGACTCTGAAGAACCTCCCCCATGGAAGGCCTCACCCTCCCTGGGGAGTGGAAAGGGTATGTGATAGGTAGGTTTTAGTTGAGGGGGTGTCAGGGGAGGAGGGGAGGGAGAGAAAACTGGGATTGACATGTAAAACAATCTTGTTTCTAATTCAAATAAAAAATGAAAAAAAAGAAGATACCTGCAGAAATTCCTATAGCTAGCATGATGATGGTCACTATGCAAATTTCCTGAAATATGATTTACTTAAATGTGTATGATATACATTATTTATAACCAAGGATATAGAATCTGTTGTCTTCTAATAACACTTTGGAAATATCTGTTTTTACAGCATTCATACTAAAAGAGGAAGTAATACAAGATTATCTAGAGGGCTTATGAGATATATATTTGAAAGTAAGAAGAGTGGAAATACCATCTTCTATTTGTGACCCAGTCAATTGTTTCACAGGATTTCAAAAATCAGGTAAACACCATTTAAATACATTCTCTTTGTCTATATATTGAAGTTTCGATAGTCTACAGCATGTCATGATTAATAACATACTCACTGGGTTATTAGTAAAGACTTAACAATAATCCTTTATGGATGATGATGCTATCTTGAAGGGATTCTGAAACAAAAAATACAAGTTATGTTTGAGAACATAGCTTACTCTGCAGGACACATGCTTATTCCCTTATCCCACCATCATAGATAATAGATACTCCAAATTTATCTGAAGAGCTAGATTAATTTGAGGAAAGTCTATTCTTCCTTGATTAGAGATCTGCTAATTATACTATGCTTATTGATGGCTTGGTAGGTTAACAAAATGACACCAAACCAGAATGCAATCAATGCCTCAACACTCACAGATTCAACATAAATCTATGTACAATATAAAAATGTAATCTTATCAACAAGATTGTTGAGAGCTCCTAAACTCATGACTATTAAAACTGCTAAGACTGTCCACCGTTTCTTTCTTTTTTGAGGCTGAATGGTGTCAATCTTTATTACTATTATTTTGATTTTTAAATTTATTTTTATTAATTATTTTTCCCAGCCCTATTACAGTTTTCCCTCCCTCCTTTCCTCCCAGTCTCTACCCCCAACCTCCCCTCTTCTTCCACCCCCCAATCCACTCCTCCTTTCTCTTCAGAAAAGGGGAGGCCTCCCATGTGTTTCTACATCAGGGCATCTCTGGGATGAGGTAGAAACCTAGTGCAATGGAAACTACCAGGAATCTATGAGAGTGATACTAGCTATGGGAGATATGGAGCCTAAACCAACTATCTCCTATAGCTAGGCAAGACTTCCAGTGGAGGGATTGGTTAAAGTTCACATTATTTAATTTACTGTTGACTGTCAAGGCCCCTCTTCACTGCTGAGGTTAATCACACCAGTATTTCTATACTAAAACCTGTGAAAACGATATAATGGCAACCATAATTAGAGACACATCTTTCATAGGACACCTGAAAATCTCATGGCCATTAACATGGTTTACATTACTACTTCAGGACTATCTTTAAAATCCTACACACATTTCTGGCTTACCAGAAGCTCTTACCAAAACATGCAAAATATTTTGGTCAAAACAGTGCATTGTGACAGACAAGTCTTTCTCATATCACCTAGAGAAGCCCATTTCTAACAGATTTAGGATGATTCTTACCTGAAGACCTACAAATTATCTAGAAAAATAGTTTGGAACCCAATGTCTCTTACCTGGGTAATTGAAAATATGTTAATATTACTATTACTAGATACCTACCATCCTCACAGTCATCCCATTTTTAGGAACATCGCCATCTATTATCTCAGGACTTGGAAAATATCTAGCTCATTACTATGGTTAGGGTCATTGTGATCTCTTTATTGTTTAGCTGAAAAAAATCCACCACGTCCTGAAGTTAAGTGAACAATTATCTTTTTGCCAGATTGTTGAAAATATCAGTCATTTTGTGGTTAGGTTCACCACAACCCCTGAAATATCAAAAATAATGTGATCATTAATAGGGTAAGGTGTATCATCAAATACAACTGGTCTATCTGAGAAATCCTAATCTTAACATTGTAGCTTGGAGTACCATCATCACTTACCTGTGTATACACAAAATACCATGGTTACTTCTATGGTTAGGGCAATTGTTACTTCTTAGTTGTAAATTTCAATAAACATTTAGTACCTAAGTAGCAATATTTTACCTTCTTACATAACTATTTACAGAATCTAGCCAATATTACCATGGATAAGGACACTATCATCTAATCCCTGGATTCCTTCATAATATATTGGCCACCGCAATAATGAAGACACAATTCTCTTCTACCAAGATACCTGTCAAATACTATGGTCTCTAAATCTCCTAAAGACTTTTTTTGTTTTTCGAGACAGGGTTTCTCTGTGTAGCTTTGGAGCCTATCCTGGCACTCACTCTGGAGACCAGGCTGGCCTCGAACTCACAGAGATCCGCCTGCCTCTGCCTCCCGAGTGCTGGGATTAAAGGCATGTGCCACCAACGCCCGACCCATTCAAGATTCTTTATGCTCTGACTTTGGGGCCCTCGGTAGCCTCAGACAGCCCTCACCTCACCTTTCATCTTTGATAGGATGAACATTCTAAGCAGGTGAACTCCCTTAAACTCTTGTTTTGTCTCTTGGTTCCAGTAATTAGAGTGATGAAACAAGATCTCATTATCTGGTGAGGGCTGAATATTGGTATATCTCTGAAAAAACCCAGGGGTCAGTGACCTTGAATTTGATCATAAACAGAATAGGTACACTATGGAAGTTGGTGAATACCACATGGGAGAACATTTCTTTTAGGAAAGTCAATTACTAAGCATTTATCAGAATATGACAAGTAATAGTAAGGTTATTAAGTACTACTAAATAATGGCAACTTAACTTTTGTTTTTTACACGAATATGGTATGATTTGTGTAGATGTAAAATGTGTCAGTTTACTCTATGTATGCTTTAAAATATATTATTTTTCAAAATTGTTATACTTGCTATTAATATGAAGAGACAGTATGACCATTGCAACTCTTATAAAAGAAACCATTTAAATGGGGCTGGCTTACAGTTTCAGAGGTTTAGTTCATTATCGTTGTGAGGAAACATGGTGGCATGCAGGTAGACATGGTTCTGGTGAGGTAGCTGAGTATTTTCCATCTGCATCCACAGGAAGAGCGAGAGCTAAAGCGAGAGAGAGAGTGAGAGTGAGAGAGAGAGCAAGAGAGAGAGAGAGAGAGAGAGAGAGAGAGAGAGAGAGAGAGAGAGAGAGAATTCATTCTTGAACTTCTGAAAACCAAAGGCTAGACCCAGTGGCATACTTCCTCCAATAAGGCCACACCTACTCCAACAGGGCCATACCTTATAATCCCTCTGAAGTAGTACCACTCCCTAATGGCTAAACACTCAAATATAAATATATGAGCCTATGGAGGCAATTCCTACCCAAGCCACCACAGCTATCATAAATGCTAACTACTTCACTAGTTTATCTATTTATAGAAGTAGGCACAAACTTAGCATAGTAACAAATCATTTGCTCCTTGTGACCTATGTTTTTATCATGGTCTCTGATCCTATCCTGCATAACTTATAAGGCACTGTATGATTTCTCTTTAAAAAGAAAGAAAGAGGAAGAGGAAAGCCATTAAAATTACCAAGTCTGATGGCATGCTGATAAGCCTATCCCTCAAGACATAAAGAAAGGGGGATTTAGAGTTCAAGGCAGCCAGACTTATCTACATAGTAAATTTGAGGCCAGCTTGATCTACAGACCCTGTCCTGGTTAGCATTTTTGTTAACTTGACACAAACTAGTGCCTGAGAAGAGGGCACAACTGAGAAATTTCCTTTATAAGACTGGTCTGTTAGCAATCTGTTGGGGGTACTTTTTAAAATTGGTTATGATGAGGGAGGGTCCATCCCATTGTGGGTGATACCACTAATATGCAGGTGGTCCTGGGTTCTATAAGAAAGCAGGCTAAGTAGCCATGAGGAGCAAGCCAGTAAGCAGCAGCCCTCCATGGTTTCTGCTTCAGTTTCTGCCTCCAGGTTATTCCTTAACTTCTTTTAATGATAGACTTTGATGTGTATGTATAACATGAAATAAACCTTTTTCTCCTTGAAAAAAGAAACATGCATTATATCAGATTTTTTGAAGAAAATATTGGTACCTCTGTATACAGATTTCTTATTTAACAGATGTTTTGAATGATAAAAAGTCCAATATTGGCTATCTATTTAAACAGCTACCTCATCTACCAACATCAAGTCTCTTTGTGGACATAGTCAACAGTTAGAAACACTAGACAAATTTCCTTCTCTTTTTATGAATAAAATGGAAGAGGAAAACACATTTAAAACATAAAGGACTGTCAGAAGGCAGCAAAACAGGAGAGCCACAGCTATTTGGGAAAAGAAATTACCTTCAGGTAAGACTGTATTTTAGACTAAACAACAGCAAAATAGTTTCCTTTGTGGGTGGGGGAATCAATTCCTTAAGACAGAAGTATATTAGTAAAAAGACAATGAATACTCTACCAATACAGAACCACCATTACCTTTGGCTTCCTGTATAGAATTAGAAACAAGGTTATAACTCCAGATAACTGATGACCTCAGTCCAGGAATAGTCCCTGAGATGACCATGAAGAAAAATATTTATGATGAATTCTCAAAGCAAAATTTTGTCTTGTAGGACATCAAGGAAAGAAGAAAGAAGGAAGAAGGAGGAAGAGAGGAACAGAAGAAGAAATAGCTTTTAAAATTAAATCATAGAACACAAAAATTTGAGCAAAAGGACTTTAGCTACTCATTGGGATTTAGAGGTGTCTGTGGGTGGATTTCACCTGGCTGTCACAGGAAGAGATAGAGATTTCCAAGAGGTTCACAGAAATAGGTTCTTTGTACTTCTAGGTTTGAATAGTCATAATTCTGGGCAGATAAATCCAAGGTGATTTGTGTTTGATCCAGATGGCTTCAAGTGTCCTTTTATCCTGTTGGGACACTTCAAAACAGACACAATCTCTTATTTCCCAGTGATATTCTGAAGTAGATAACGAGTCTCTGGACCTAGTAAGACAACTGTTTAGAGGAGGAGCCTGCAGTAAGATACTTCAAAGGGGCTGATGTAGTTTGCAGACTTGGGAGTGATGCAAGATCACAAAAGTACAAGACTGTTAAGTCTCAATATGATCTTAAGGAGATTACACCTTTTCACCTGCAAAGATTGAATGTATCGGCCTGTATGGAGATAATACTTAATTTTGAGAGCAACACTCACTCTTTGAGTGATATTGGAAATGAAAACCAAACCATTACAAGACTGTGTGGACCAGAGAGACAAAAGTGGGGAGTAAGGTAGTCTATAAAGAGAATGGTTACCTCTGAGCCCCCCTTTTCCTTTGAAGAATGCCAGTATTCACCCTATGAATAGATATCCATTAGAACACACACACACACACACACACACACAAACACACACACACATAATGATTTCTTTTTATTTTTATTCATGTGTATCTATGTGAGTGTTTAATTTGTGTGAGGCCTGCAGAGGACTGTGGAACCCCTGGAGCTGGACTTTCAGGCAGTTGCGAGTTGCCTGACATGAATACTGAGAATCAAACTCAGGTTCTCTGGAAAAGCAGTATCTTTGATTTACTGAACCATCTCCCCAGCCCTGACCACTAGTGGTGTTTGTATAAGGCATCACAAGGCAACAGCTAAGGCTCTGATTCCTACCGAGTGGGGGACTTCTGGTTTTATGGCCCTGTGTTCTTAGTTTGCCTTTTTGTCGCTACAGTTATTTTTGGCAGTGGAATAATGAGTGGTTTTTATGTTCCTCTATATTTTATAGCTGATAATTTGTATAAGACATATATTTGAATTATTAATGGGAAGGGAAAAGCAATCTTCAAAGCAACATCCTATTGTATTCTTGACTGCTTTATTGGACAAGAACCAAGCCTCGTAAGACTGCTATCAGGACTAAGTGGAAAAACATCTGTAAACTCCATCTGCAGGCCAGTAGCTCCAAAGATCTTTTCATCCTTCTGCCAAGGCCATTTCTAAAATTTTACCTTTGCACTTAATTGGAGTCCGGCTGTGTAATTACTAATTTTTCTTATGTAAAATGCACTCTAGAAAGACTGTAATTTGTAGGGGTGGTTTTTTTTGTCATTTTCCATGTAGTTTATTTCTTTTTTATTTTTTCTATTTCATTTTACATTTCAACCTCAGTTCTCCCTCCCACTCCTCCTCCTATTCCCCCTTACCTCCTCCCACCCTCCCACACCATCCCCCTAGCCCATCCCCAGTCTAATACTCCTCACAGTTAAGGGCTCCCATGACGAGTCAACATAGTCTGGAACAATAGGTTGAGACAGGGCTGGGCCCCTCTCCCATGCATTAAGGCTGAGCATGGTATCACACCATAGGGAGTGGGCTCCAACAAGCTAGCTCATGTACCAGGTTTATATCGTGGTCCTACTTCCAGGGGCCCCTCTGATAGTCCAAGCTTCACAACTGTCTGCCACATATGGAGGGCCTAGTTCAGTCCCCTGGAATCTCCACAGTTGTAGTTCTAGAGTTCAGGAGTTTCCATGAGCTTGGTTTCAACTGTCTCTGTAGATTTATTCATCATGATCAAAGGAGAGCCAGACTAAAATCCATAGCTCCAGGGAAGCTAGGTAACAAGGAGGACCCTAAGAGGGACACATGGATCACCCTAGGAATGGAAATTAGATGATATCTACAGGACAAACTGAGGTGAGGGTAGTAAGGGGGAGGGGAGGGGCAATGAGAACAGGAGGGACCTAGATTTCCTAGTCAGGGAGGGATAGAGTGAAAGAGCAATGAAAAAGATATTTTAATAGAGAGACCCACTATAGTCTTAGGAAGAAACCCGGTGCTAGGGTAACTCCCAAGAATTCACAAGGAGAACCCCAGCTAAGACTCCTAGCAATAGTAGAGAAGATGCTTGAATTGGCCTATCCCTGTAGTCAGATTGATGAATACCCCAACTATCATCATAGAGCCTTCATACAGTAATTTATGGAACCAGTTACAGAGATCAACAACCAAGAACCAGGCAGAGCTCCAGAAATCCAGTCAAAGATAGGGTGGAAGAAATGTATGAGAAAGAGAGGTCAAGATTTTTTAACTCTTGGGATCTTGGTATGTACTGCCTCTAGTAAGCAAAGAATACTGTTAACAGACCAGATGGAATCTAAAGTCAGGAGCTGAGCTCCCAAGTTCACTGTTATTGAATCCTAGAAAAGAACCCAGGATCCAGATTGATAATCCAGATTGATAAGAGGGAGAAGGATTGGAGCGTAGTACTGGTCAGAACAGGGAAAGACAAACTTTTAAATTTTTCTTTTTGCCTTTCCTGTAGCAGTCTTATAACCTATAGAAAATGTAAAACAAAAACCAAGAAATGAGTCTGTATAGACTTCACAGTGAGACAAATAATCGGAACTAAGTCTTTTTCTGGGAAAGAATAGTTTTCCCTGGTGTCAGTGTGAGGGCACTGTTACACTGTTAGAATACTACTGATATGTTGGCTTTGTGGGGCCAGACTTAAGGCTATTGGCCTTATGAAAAAGGAGTACCGATTAAAGCACTATTTTTGTACTACTACTGTGAATAAAGAGCTGGGCATAGTGGTCATAGTTATAATTCTGAAGCAGGACAATAAAAGAAATTTACTGCCAGTCAGAGAAATTTAGTGAGATCTGTCTCAAAATATAAACAAAAAGGAGCCTGGGTGGCTGGGTGTGATAGTATAAGCCTATAATCCCAGCAGGCAGGAGACAGGGGCAGGCAGAACACTGTGAGTTTGAGTCTAGACAGGTCTATAGAGTCAATTTCAGGCCAGTTAGTGCTACACAGTGAGACTTTGTCTGGAAAATGGGGTATGGGTTTTGAAGCTCAGTGACAAGATTCTTACCTAAGTATATGCAATATCCTAGGTTCAGTGGTTGGCCCTGTAAGAAAAAGGGAAAGTAAAAGAGTTCATCAATTAGAAAAATGAGAATGCTAACATCATTATTGTCCTAATATAGCCTTAGATAGAGACCATGGGTGCTAATTTATCAGGTTATAGCAGGGTTTCATTACTTTAACACCAAAGACATGTTGGACCAGACAACTTTTTCCAAAATACTATTTTTTATTGATTATTTGGGAATTTCATACCATGCACACAAATCACACTTCCCAGCCCTCCCAGGTCTGCCTCCTGCCCTTGTGATCTCTTCTCCAAAAAAGTAGAAGAAATAAAAAATAAAAATTAATCCAATTGTGTTGCCTATATACTCACTGTAGCATGGTCAAACTCCCAGTGGCCAGCCCTTTAAAAAAATGATTCCTTCCTCACCCACACCCCCACCAGAAGCCATCAGTTTTGGAGAGCTACACTTCAGCATCCTTATCACAATTTTAAGAGTTCTCTTGATGACTTTCTGTCTAAATTGTTAACTCTTTGGGGGGGTTAGGGGGTATGAGATGTCACAGAATCCTTCTATGTCCCTCTTTCTCAATTGTGATTTCCCAGTCATCAATACCACTGTAAAAGTAGGTAGCTTCATTGCCTTTTACAGTTAGTGGGAACATGGGTTTCTGATGACAGCATGGACTATGGACATCCACATGATCTCTGATGTCAGGATGTCAGGATAGTCTCTGGTGACAGTACATACCACAGACATCAACATGACCCTCTACCACAGCGTGGGCCACAGACACCATCATCATCCTTAGCAGTAGCACAGGCCAAAGACATCAGCATGGCTAGGGGTCCACAAAGGACACTGTGGTTGTTTGAATAGGTATGGTCCCCATAGACTCATGTGTTTGAATGCTTTGCCCACAGGGAATGACACTATTAGGAGGTGTGGCCTTGTGGAGTAGGTGTGGTCTTGTTAAAGGAAGTGTGTCACTGTGGAGGTGGGCTTTGAGGTGTTATAAGCTCAAGTCTGGCTAGTGAGACACACTCTTTTGCTGCCTACAGATTAAGATATAGAACTCTCAGTTCTTTTCCAACTCCATGTCTACTAGCATGCAATCCACCATGACAATAATAGACTAAACCTCTGAACTATAAGCCAGCCCCAATTAAATGTTTTCTTTTATAAGAGTGGCCATGTTCATGGTGTCTCTTCACAACAGAAACCCTGAGACAGACACTGACACCAATATGGTCCCAAGCAGCAGCCCAGCCCAAAGACAGCAGCACAGACCACCAGCATCCACATGGTCTTCAGTGGTAACACAGGCCACAGACATCAACACAGATTCTGACCACAGTACCATAGACCCAGACATGACTCTCATTGGCAGCACAAACAGAGACATCAAACATGGCCTCTGATGGTAACCTGGACCACAAACACTAATATGACCTCCTGCAGTAGCTCAGACTATGGACATCCACCTAGTCTCTGGAGGTAGCACAGGCCTCAGGCATCCATATGGCTTCAAGTGGCAGCCTAAACCATGGACATCCACATGAACCTCAGGTTTCAATATGGCTAGTTCAGTAGACCACAGATACAACATGGCCTCCTGGGTTAGCACAGACCATAGAGGTATTTGAAAAGGTCCGCTCCAGAAAATGAATAGTTCTTCATCTCAGACTTTCTGTTGTTGCTTAGAACGAGGGCAATTTTGCAGCTTGGCAGTTAATACTGTTCCTGAACTTATTTTGGGGTCTGTTTGTAAATTCTTCTGTCCACATGACTATGAACCTCCAAGTAGAACCCCCCCAATTTACTAGTAACAATAGGAAAAACTAAAAAGAATGATATTGTTTAGATTTTCCAAACCACCTAAATTCATGAATGTAATAGGTGTGAGTTGGCATTCACTGAACACCTGCTGAGATTTCCATGTTTTTTTGTGTCTCAGCACAATAAATTGGGCTAGGAAGGCATGGATGGTTTTAAAAATAGAGGCAGTTCATTAAGAAATAAAAGGCCACTTCAGGGGTAGAAGTGGACTAGTAAGCTGGGAAGGCAGACACTCAAAGCTTCATGCCTCATGAGTTTTGATCCTTTCTAGACTACATAGCTCTTGCCATGTCCTGGAGATCTTTCAGGCTTTTCTCACACATGCTCTTCTCTGTCACAAATAGTCCATGGCCAGGGGTTTCCAATGTTTCTTCCAATTGTCTTCTTTTAAATATTAACACTGATATCACTTTCTCCACACCCCTACTCTCCTGCCTCAGTACTGCTAATGGGGATGTAGGGACAGGTCTAACCAAAACTGAAAAACTGAAACAGGCACTTACAGGCTACTTTTACTAGAAAACATTGACTCACTTGGCCCATGAAAACTAAAAGTAGTATGAAAGACTGGCATCTCTCTCTTTATTTTGTGTCTGTCTGCCTCTTCTGCTTCAGCAAAAAGCAGATTGCCCTAACCTTGCTGTCAATTTCGGGTCTAGGAAATAAAGAAATTTGAGAGGGCAGACTCCCCTAGAAAAAGATAGTTACTTTGATAATGAGGCCACACCTGGAGCAGATACAGTCATCTTTCAGAAATAAGATTGATTGATCTCATAGAATTAGGGTGACAAGGTCTTTCAGATCACCTTCAAAACTAGGGCAGAGACAGTGGTCGCCTAAGTCACATCTTTACCAGTACTGCTGAGACATCTGTCTTGCCCTTTGTTTAAGTCAAAACTTCATGTCAGTTACTCCAAAGGCCAGCTTGCAATCAGTAGACCTCTTTGTCCTCTCTCAAAGGTAGCAACACTGAATAAATCTCTTCTCCCTGATTTCACCATTACCCAACTCTCTAGGTGGCATATTGGGATGAGTAGCTGGGCCTGCTGGAGGTTAGGCTTTTGTCCTAAAATCTCTGATAATGAAACTTGCTTAATATAGAAAGATATAATTATCTATTCGAATAGAAAGTTGCAATTCTTGACCATATTCACTGGTCCTCTTAGGTGGGAGTCTCATGAAATGCTTGGTCAGAACCTATGAATATGTTTCTGGTTGAAATGCAAGGAACTGGAAAATTGTAAGGTGGGAGTCTAGGTTTACAGCAGAAGCATGCTCTGGAACAGTTTAAGAAGTGACAACTAAAATACACAGAATTAGTAAGAACTCTATTCTGCCACTGAAAAGACCACTGGAATTTGACAGCAGAAACCAAGTCTGGTTCCAATCATAAGGCCAAATCTGACAGAAAGATCCCTTCTCTTAAAATATAGTTAATTTGACCAATAACTAAGCAAAATGCAGAATTTGTAGAAAGCTGTCTTGGATAAAAAGTTGGTTTAATGAAGCAGCCAGTGCTGGCAGTAGTCAATAGTCATGATCTGTACCGGCCATAGGCAAATTACTTGGTTTTCAGCACCTGTCACTATTTGTGTAGTGGCCATGCCTACTGATTAGCTCTGATGTGGAAGAATGTAGAAGTTTCCATTCCCATTCTCACAAGAAGAAAAAGAGTTGCACAAACTAAAACTTGTTAACTTGTCTTGGGGTCAGAGTATAAACTGCTACTTTGAAAACTGGAAGGACATAAAAACAAAAACAAAAACAAAAACAAAAAAACCCCCAAAAACTCAAGTTTACCAAGCGTATAGGTCTCTGGTGACAGTAACTGCTAAGAACAATCAAACAGTAATTGATGATTTGCTAAATGCCTCCTCTGGACTAACTTGAGCATTTAAAACTATAGATTGCTTGACTCTTACGGAGGCCCACATGCTTTTATAGGCTTATTTCCAGGAGTCCCACCAGAGGTACTGGGATTAGGCTGTGCTCTCCCCTAAGTTACTCCATGTTTTTGAAATGGGTTTTTCAGACTATCCATTGTCTCAAGATACTCCATTTTGCAAACAACATTTGACTCCATTTTAAGGATGAAGGATGACTCTGTACCTCAGCAGATAATATGAACACTACCGTCTGCCTGGCACTACCCACACATCACAGACTAATAACTTATGTTTAAAAGTAGAAAAAGTGCCACTCTATAAATGTATCAAAGTAAGCTATGACTGTAGGAGCTCCTGGGCACATTACAATCACAGCAGGAAAATCAGGCATTACAAATTATTGGACATAGCGAACAGTTCTACTTAGCTATGATGCCTGTGATCCACAACAATGACCAGAATGGCACAATGACTCTATGGGAGCAGCAGTAGCACCTTGGTGGTAACCAATAGTTCTCTAAAAGAGGGAAATTCTGCCTGGTACTGGAAACCTAGCCAACTATGCAGGGCTACTGAAGTCATGGATCTTGATGGAGAACCTACAACCACCACTTTACTAAGCCAGCATAACCCCTAACTACATTCCAAATATCTGCCCTTATACCCACAGATAAGTGTAGTCCTCACCCCTCATCAAGGAAACTTGTCTTTGAATCAGAGGGAGACCACTACAGAAAACCACAAGCAATCAAAATGCAGACTTGTGGAACCCAGTACCAGAGAATATATCTACAAAATGCCCCTACCTAAGGTTCAGGGGACATTGCAGAAGACGTGGTGGAAAGATAGTAAGAGCCAGAGGATCAAAGAGTTTGCTGATTGTATTTCATAGTGATGACAGAAGCTACACCATAAAGTCTTGTGAACATGACTGTCTAATGTGAGCTGAACAAAGACAACAACAATAGATACGCTAATGTAGACCCATTGTTGGGAGAAGGGCCCAGGAGACCTCAGCCTTACATAAAGAACTACAAACAACTAAGGAATGCTAAGAGTGGGAGAAATGTTCTCCAGAGAAGAATCATCACTTTGCTATCCAATACCAAATGGTCAGCCCTGAAAACATACATGCAAGTAACATTAAATAGACTGATCAGGTTGTACTTCTGTATGTAGAAACACACGCAAAGACACACATTTATATATACATATATGCATGCATCAATGAAAAATAGGCAATGAACTTGAAAAAGAGCAAGGAGGGGTATATGGGATGGTTGAGAGGGAGGAATGATGGATTATACTCTTAAAAAATAAAAAGAAACAATTAAAATTAAGAGAAGAAATACACAGTAGCACACCATCATGTCCTGTTTCCAGCATGAAGATGTCATAGACATCCATACCCTTAACAGCACAGAAAATAATAATTTGCCTGGATTATAATTTGTTTGTGCTGAATTATTTTCATGATAATTCTGCTCAATTATAAGGGTAATGAATTTCCCAAATCTTGGCACACTAAAAATTGTATTACTGTACCTTTACCTTTATATTTGAATGAGAGTTTAATGGGGCATAGGAATCAAAGTTCAAAATCATGTTCTCCATATATTTAAATTTATCATGCTATTAATTTTCAACTACAACATTCCATTATATTTTTGTCATTAAAAAGAGTACTCACTGCTGGGAAGTTTTCTTTTGGCAACTGCTAAATTTTAGTCACTGAAAAAAAAATTAGGAAATTTTTAGCTCTTGATTAATCAAAAGTTTGTTATAAGATTTGGAAAATTATATGTACCAACTTTTAAGATAAATATTAACTTGTGAGAATATAGGAACAAGATAGGTGATGAATTCACTGTGAATAGCATTATAATTCTTAATAAATACAAAAGGACCTATGATCAAAAAGGAAACTGTTATAGAAATACTTTGGTTTTCCCTTTTTAACTTTAATCTGTTCTTCTTTTCTCAAAATCTGGCTTAATATATTGGTATACATATATTCATAATTCTTGTGGTTTTATATTACTATTCTATATACAATATGTATTATTAAATGTGTAGATGCTGTTCTTTTAAGATTTACATAGAATCATCTACACACAGAATTGTGTAATTTGACATGGTCACTCAGTACTGCTGCTGAGACCCATCTGCATTGCTATATATTCAGTTAGGACACCCAGTTGTCTTAGAGGAGATCCTGTCTTTCTAAGGAGCTGTTTGAGGGAACCTTTAACAAAACAGATCAGTAACTTCAACTGGGAGTGACCTTTACCCGCAGTGAAAACCGGAAATGTTTGGAGCCATTTGAAGTTATTAGGAATAGAATCCACAGAGTAGAAGCCAAGAGATGCCTCTAAATATCCTGCAGGGCACAGGAACATGCAAGAGCAAAAAAATTCATCTAGTCCAAAATTTTATAGTACAAATGCTGAGGAACCACGACATACTAAAAGCCACATACTCTACATTCCTGAAGAAATCCTAGGTTTAGAGAAGTAACCCAAACATAGACTCTTCAAACAAATAGCATGCTGTCTGCAACTATATCATCATAACTGTCTTTGTTGTGTTTTTCTTGTATGTGGATGGAGTAGACTGTTAGATGGAAATCACTATTGCATATTTTATGAAGTTATGTGTACATGTATGTTTTGTGGGGTGTGAGTATGTATGTGTGACTATTATAGTGGGATATGGGCCTGCATGCTTACCGAAAAATATAATGAGATCTAAACTAGACTTGATACAGTAAAATAACCATGATTTGGTTCCTATGTATTTAAGAGTAACATTTAAACAAGTAAAACACGACTCTTCGATGCAAAAATAAATGTGTGCTACAGATCATATTCAGCTCATTAATTTGGAAAATTAAGGTATTAACCAAGTCAAGGAAGAAGCCAAAGAACACAGTTTATAGAGTGTGTAATCTGAGTCAAATCTGGGTTTTCACGGTAGGTGAGAAAAGGTGATTTGAGCTCTACTTATCTCCCAGACAGGAAATAATTTGATGTCTGTAAACAACTGAATTTTGGATTACTATTAGCTACCATTGATTTTCCAAGTTGCCAAATAGGTCCCAAAGAAACAGATAACCCATAGGGATGTCCTTTACTGTAGACACTTCATAGTTTCCTACTGAAGCAGTTTTTCTTCCTGCAGTGGAATAATTTTGACATTAGAAACTGTATGGCCTACTATTTCAATGATCTAGTTTAAACTATGAATCCCAGAGCCAGCCTTTGGGCAGGTCCTGGACAGTCATCTTTCCTCCAATGAAATAGATTTGCCCCTTGTCAATCTTTCTGGGAAGAGGATGTTTCAGAGAATGAAAACAAAGCTGGACTCAGATATAGAAGGTTTGGGGGATTTCTTCTTCCTCTAAGATAGGAGAAAGTGATACCTCAACTTAAAGGTAGGAGATACCTGAAGTTGCCCATTTTATTTTACGTCTCTGCCATGTAATGAGCTGCTGGGAATGAGGCAGAGTTTCATATTTTTGGTTTGGACTTCTAGGTTCAAAGAATACTTACGTCTCTTGGCTATTGTAAGTTATTGTGTTTTCTTTTCTTCTTTAACCTTCAATGACCAAGGAAAATATCGGCACTTAGATATGAGAAGTAAAGAGGAGGACTAACCTTTGCTTACAGTCACAGTAAAGACACATCAACAATGGTCACCAGGAGAGGAGTGTGGTATCCAGGAGTATTACTATGGGGTAATAAGGCAGAGAGGCAAGTTAAAAGATGGTAACTAGTGCTGAAAAACTGTGAGGTATCACTAGGGGTACAGTGATCAGAAGAAGTTCAGGAAATGGTCTGAGGAAGGCCAGTTTTGAACAACATGGCTGATGTGAGCTCATACCAGAGTAATTTGGGGTGAAACTAAAGTATGACTTATTTTTGTTGCCACAGATTATGAAGCCTGGGACTTGGGTCAATTCTTGTGGGAACATAATATAAAACCATAAAATATTGGTAGCAACAATGATAAAGACAATGGGATAAAAATAAGACTTTTTAATGTAAAGAATTCATTTCCTACTTTGGTCTGAAAAAAGTAAACACAGCATCAATATTTAATAAGCAATGAGACTGACTCTACAGTAAAAATTCAAGATCATGTAATTCAGTTCCCTGGATGCCTTAACCACCTGTAGTCTAAACAGCCAGACCGAAGATACCTTACACTGACTTCATTGCATAAACCTGTTACAGAGAGTTCATAGCATCTGATTAGAGTTTTATGCAACAGACCCAGATATAGGTTTTATTCTACAGTCTTACATCTGAGATCATAAAAATTCACTGTTATTAATTTATTAACTAATAAATGGTATGAATTGGGACTGGAGCTGTAGCTCAGTTGAGAGAGTCCTTGCTTATCATATACCACATACACAGGGGGTTTAGCACATGTGTGTAATTCCAGCACCTGGAGGTGAAAGTAGGAGGGTCAGAAATTCAAGGGTGCCTTGCTTTACATAGCAAACTCAAGGCCAGCATGGGCTATATGAAACCCTGTCTCAAAAAAAAAGGAAAATTAGCCTTATCCTAAGTCTAACATGTGTACTACCTTGCTTAAATGTCAAAGAATGGGAGAAGCAATTAAATACTAACTAGCTTTTAAAAGTGAAAAATCCAAAGTATTTCCATATTTATGCTAAAATTAACCAAACACAAATTAAAAGAATAAAATTAATTTGGTTTAGAATTAGAGATATACCAAAAGTTTGTTTTTCAAAAAAATCTGTATGTAATGGCACTTGGTGCAAAATCTGAAGGCCTGAGCCTAATCAGCAGACTCCTAAAAGCCACCGACCTCCCTGTGTGCATAGTGGTATGTACACACTCATGCACACACAATAAGTAATGTGAAATTATATTTGAAAACATTTACACTAGTTTTAATTTCCAAAAATTTCACTAGCATTTAAAAATATCATCACATAAAATATGTGTGCAATAAAACAAACACAGGTATAATGGATGTCTTATAGCTATTCAAAGTTCTATAAAATGTTGTAATTGTGTAAGATGCATAAACATATGAAACAGACAGTTTCATCAACTCAGAAATTATATACACACATAGATAAATGCTGGCCTTGAAACAAAAGCCACCACACATATTTTTAATTGTACCATATATTGACACAGTTTAATCAAAAATCAAATTATTTTATGTGGTCTGCTCTTTTTAATGCGTATAGTCAAGATACACAACATGTGGCCTTTACAAGTTGTTATTATTATTATTATTATTATTATTATTATTATTATTATTAT